GTCATCTAATCGTCCAAAAGAGGAAAAAAAAAGAGAAGAAATGAATATATATTATATTCGAAAGATATGTGTGTTTTTTTTCTATCATATTCAATAAAGAAAAAAGATTTTTTGCAAAAAAAAATTAATATTTTTCTTTAACTCACATCTTCATTAAGATTTGATACAAGAATAACTGGACCATTTTGAACAGATATCATATGAGGATTTTGTTGTTGTTGAGATTGCAAATGTGTTGGAGGTAAACCATGAATAGGTGGTGGGGGTGGAGGAGGATGAGCTGAAGCATATCGATGGCCATATGGAGTAGCTGTAGCACCTACCATTGGATTATAAGCAGTAGGTGTTGGTTGAAGTGGACTCATTAAATGATTGGCATTGGCTAAACAAAATTATAAATAAAAATTTGTTAGTACAATCCCTATAGGATTAAAATCTAAAACATGATTCAGCTACCATTGCTAATCACAGAGAGATTGTTTTATTCTATTTATTTTCGGCCATATTCATTCAGAAATAGTTAATATATTACAATTAGACGTTATAGATGTATGGTTTTTGATCGTGTATCAGCAATGTCTGTCATGGCATTTTCTTTTTGAGCCCAGAACAAGATCTAGAAAAGGTTAGTAGAGAAAGATCTCCTCTATCTAAAAGTATACGATTCTACTATGTAGTACATAGTATGTACTACTGAAATGTCAATAGAGGGCGCCACCTCCATCACATTCGATAATTATAATCACGGTGAATGCGGCGTCACGTGTTGACATGTGCACGGTACGCAATAAAACTTGATTATGCACATACACCTTTTAGGTAGAGGAAGTGTTTCTCTACTAACTTACATTTATTCTGTTTGCAGATGAAAAGTTTGTAATTATCTATCTACTCTATATTTTTCAAGATTTCTTTTTAGATTGTATTTTATAAGAAATATTTTTTACCTGGTATATCATAACCAGGAGTCATTCCAGCTGTTGATGGGGGTCGACCACGTGATGCTACAGCTGCTGTAAAATAATCTGAAAATCAAAGTATTATGTTGAAGCAAAAAAATAAAATATTCGTTTTTGTTTTTCTTTTACCATAACGATAATCTTCATTAGATGTTGTTCGTTGTAATGGAAGAAGACCAGTATTTGAATGCATTCGTTCTACAAATTAAAATTAATTATATCATAATGAATAATAAAAATAATTAACCTGATTCTGTTTGTTGAATCATATTTCCTTCGCCTGATGGTAATGTTGGA